AAAGACTGGTTATATGCAAAAATTTTTGGATGCAAAATAATATCATTGATATCAGATTTTCACTTTGTTGCTTACATGGCAATTATTACAAGTCCAAGTTATTATGTCCATCAGTGAAAATTAAAGTCCAGAAATTCTGATAGAGATAAATCTGGGGCTATAGATTTAAGATTAATTAAAAGGGGGCTTTCCTTGGTGGTGCAACAGGTTAAAGCACCACATTATGAAGCTCTTCAAAGCCACTGCAGCACAAGTTTGATGCCTGGCCAGGGAGCTGACCCCCATGGACTGGCAGATCTCTCCTGACCCAAGCACTGCTCCCTTCAGCAGTGTACTTTGTCAGTCAGCCTGTTCTGCTCTCCACTCTGTCTTTGGTGAATCCTCTCACCCACCACACCTCTGGTCTTGTACCTCAGTTCTGTAAGCATAAATAAATAAATCTTTTTTAAAAAGATTAATTAAAAGGTCATTGATTAGATGTGAAGTATTACCTTTGAGAAGGAAAGTATAGAGAGGATTAGAGGGCTTAATGATCACACATCATTCACATAACAATAAGATGGGAAAAGAAAAATGACAGTATAGAAAGTGGCTAAGGCTATTAGAGAGACATTGGGAGTAAACTGTGCTTTGGTAAATTATATCAGTTTCCAAGCTATTTTGACAGAACTCATCAAATCTATGCAAATATGCCCAGCCTGTGCTAAAATATACAATTATCTACACTTTCTAAAAATACTTCTACTACTAGCAAGAATAATTTCATGAGGGGAAATATGAAAAAAAGCAGTTAGTATATAGAGATATCTGGACACCATTTTCATAGAAAAAAGTTAGATAAACCCAGGAAAGATACAGCTCAGTAAATGTCAGATTGAATTTTTGCAAAACGCTGTAATGACTTAAAAACTGAAAACTTATTTGCATCGAAAATAAAGGCAAAAGTACCAAAATCCAACATGAAATTACCAGAAGAACTCACCTTCTTTTGCTTCCTGAGATAATTATTCAGTGGGTAATTCTAGAGTACTGTCATAGGAAAAAATCAGTGTTATTTCAGGAAGTTATTTGATAAGAACACTCATGATACCTCTTTTAAGATAACAAAGAATTTGAACTGAATAAGAGTTCGGTCACTTTATAATTGTAACCAAGTGATTGGTAGTTTATCGGTGTTGACCTAGAAGATAATTTGCCTGGCAGGGCCATTAACTTAGTTCTAAATTTGGTGGTGGCCAACATTTTTATCTCTGGAATTAATGACCAGAGAAGGAAGTTTTGGTCAACTCAAAACACATTATAAATCAATAGTCTCAGGTGGTTCTTGTATAAAAAACAAGAATTAATAAAATCACTTTAACATAAATATACCATCATCAGAGAAATGAAGTTTCTAGTAATTATTTCCCATTTGAAAAGTAAATTAATCTAGGAAATAAAACATATTTAGGAGGGAATATTAATAACTTGAAATGTTTCTAGAAAAATGTTTGAGAAAACTCTGGTCCATGTCAATAGAATTTTTCTGGTGTTATTCTTTCCTGTAAAGAGCATTTTTTTTGTTTGTCTTAGGAATTGTAGTATGGGGAAAACTAATATCCTTGAATTCCCTTTTTGAGTTTGGCTTTATCTGAAAGTTTAATGTAAGAGTCAGGAATCAGTAACCAGTAAAGTTCAGGTTGGAGGACCTGGCTCACTCAGACTTTTCTTCTGAGTTACCCAAACTTCACTCCTGATTTAGATTGCCCAACCCATCTGTTCAGGTGAGCAACTGACTTCTGTGTGTGTTGGGGGAGGGGGAAGGGGAGGTTGGTGGTTATGCTTTAGAGCCAGTTGGAATATATCCATTTTGATGAAAGCAGACTCAAAACTGAGGGGTCTAAGACAGAGCTGAGCATGCTCAATCTTCTCTTCCATATTCCCAATTAACTAGGTGAATTCCTTCCTAGGGGGGAGGAACGACAGAAGAGACAAAACTGGACTTCTGTTCTATTCAAGTTTCTCTCCTAAAGTTCTTGCAAATTTTCAAATAATTTTTTTTCTTTACTCTTTCATTTTTATTGCTGTACCTCTCATTTATAATACCATATAAGTTTCAGGCATTTTCCCTCACACATCAATAAATGTATATACTCCACTGCACCCACCACCAAAATTCTAGTACCATTCATCACTATCAAATAAATCCTCTTACCATTTCCTCCACCCGCTTCCCTTCTTCCCTCTGGTAACCACCATTTTATCGTCAAGTCTGAGTTGGTTTTGTTATGCTTTGTTTTTTCATTTGATTTGTTGCTTTGTATTACACATATGAGTGAAAACATATTTATTTTTCTTTTTCTGAATTAGTTGATTTAGCATCATTACCTCAATTTCTGTCTATATTGTTGCAAATGACAAGATTTCATCTTTTTATAGCTGGATGATGTTCCATTGAGAACATTTTTTCTTAAACATTACTCTCTGGAAAGATATACATTACCCAAAGAAGAAACTGCTCCTGGATGGGGTTTAAGTCAAGAAATATTCCTACTTTCCTATAAAGGAATTGATGGTCCTCTTGGAGCTGGACTCCCCCAGATGATAATGATGACAGTTTGGAGGCATTGCAGAATAAAAGCTGTTTGGAAAAGTGTTAAGAAGTTGTCAGAATATCACAGAAGATATACTTAGACTGAAAGGAATCCCTGTGAGAAGCTCCTATGGGAAGGAAAATAGGTGTTCTATTTTCAGGAAGAAATAGAGAAAAAGAAGAGCCAAGTGAAATATAAAAAACAAAAGAAGGACTATTCCCTACCAGATATGTGTTATTTCATAATTATTAAATTAATAATTAATCAATTTAACTAATCAATTTACAGAACTTTATATGATTTAGGGGGTAGGTGTATACCTCTTCAGATGTATGTTACCTCACCCACAACCAATGCATTCATAGTCCTTTACCCTTAACCATTGAGCCCCCTCTCTGCATCTTTCCCTCCCTCTATAATAGCCTCAATTCTGCTGTCATATTTTTAGGATTGGTTTTGTTTAGTTCCCTTAATAATTTTTTTTAAGGAGGGGTATTTTTAAGACTGCTTGCTTTTAGAACCAGATTTTAAACATGAACTAAATTGTTAAAGGAAACAGCTTTCTCTTACCTGGTTTGTGCTTTCTCTGAGGATGTCATATTTGTAGGACAATAGAAGGAATAATATTTTGTGTTTGCTTCACAAAACACAAAATATTATTCCTTCTATTGTCCCACAAATATATTTTCACCTGAAAATGCATATATTTCTTAAAAATCACTTTAACAGTGTGTCAGGAAAAGGACTGTGGGCTCAAACAAAGAATTCAAAGGCAAGATGAGACATGACCATCTTATGTACAAGCAGTAGTAGCAGAACACGTACTATAAATTGTTTTTTCCCCCAAGGGATTATAAATACCATTTTATTTTCAGTAATTTTTTATAACTATATCTATGTATATATTACATCATTGTCCATTACTTACAGTGCATGTTTGTATGCTTTCTCCTCTCAGGTGTATTCTCTATAAATTCCCACCACCAGTTCACCCGTGCACCATCACCATGGTCCTTGTTGCTCTTCTCTCTCCTGTTTTGATTCTTCTCTCTCTCCCTCCCGTGCAGAATGTCTCTGATTTATAGTGGCCTTTTAATTTTGTTTTTTATTTATTGTTATTGTCATTTTTTTTCCTGGTCCTTTATTTGGCTCCTCATATTCCTCCTCTAAGTAAATCCATCCAGTGTTTTTCTTTTTCCTTCTGGCTTCTTTGTTAGCTAAGCAAAAATGCACCCACAATGCTGAGGAAAACAAAGAGAATGGGGTAGAGCTAGGAGTGTGGGCTAGAGGAGACCCTGTTAATGTCAGTTCCAAAAGGGTCAACAGAGCCTGTTCTTAAACCAGAGGTGGACATGGATGAGTGAGGAAAAATACTAGAACAATGTAAGCATGAGGCCAAGTACAGCCATTCCTGCCCCTGCATGACCCATTCCACACATGGAACAGAAACCAGCTGACCAGGTCCCTCTCTTGTGCTCAGAGTGCTTCTCGGGAAGGCCATTTCAAGACTGTTTCTGTAATAGCCTCCTCCCGGACAAGATTATCACACCATGAGGGCAGAGATTATACTTTTATTCATAATTTCCTCTTTCCATTGCCTAGCACAGTACCTAGTACCTAATGTATAACAATGCTCAAAAAAAATATTTTTTAATGTAAGAATAAAGAGGAGGGACTCGAAGAAAATAGTCACTAAAAATAGTTTTCTCTAAACCAGGAATTGAGACCTGTCAAATACATATAGACCAAAAGTAGAATGTGTTTTCCAGAGACAAGGAAGGAGGGCACCATAGGGAGTTATGCTTACTGGAGGGAGTTTCTGTTTGGGAAGCAGAAAAGGTTTTGGAGGTAGTATGCTTAATTCCACTGAACCACACAGTGGAGTTAAATATTTTAATCAATATTATTTACATATTAATCAATATTTACATATCGATTAAAATAGTTTTATGGAGTGTATATTTTATCATAATAAAAATAAATAATAGTTTTCCTGAGATGAAGAGGGATTACTCCAGGCAGGATCTTTAGTGTTTAAGAACTACGTGTTGGCATGCTATATAGATAAATAAACCAAAGTCATAAATCCACAAGTGGAAAGAAAGTTCTCACTTGAAAGACATTGGCCTAGTATAACCTTCCATTACAGATGAAAACCAATGTTAGCTTTCTTCTGTTTCACAAGCTCTATCACATTTCACTCAGAGACTGGAGATCACTTTCCTGACTGCTTTTCTGAACAGGACTGTGCCAGGTTAGATGGAGAAATGGGTTCAAGTTGTATAATGTGTGAACCAGGGCCCCAAGTTTCAACTCATGGTAAAAATCTAAAAAAAAAAAAAATTTTTTGAACCTGCACTGCACTTTAATTAAAAACTAGACAAAGGAGACTCAATAACTAGAAGCTTTGGCTTTTTGGTTTTGAAGGAACAAGAGCAGATGGCTGACATACTAGCCATTCATGGAAGAGAAGAAGGTCAGCCTCCCCCGAACCTGAGGCCCCTGCCCTGTGCTGAAGAGGGTGGTGTCCAGGGTCTGCCTCCGCCTGCTGACGTGCCCTGGGGAGGAGAAGATGAGTGCATCTCACCTGATGACATCTCCTTGCCTCCACTCCCGGAAAGCCCAGAATCCCCCGTCCTGCCATCTGACACGGAGGCAGAGGAGAGTCCCAGCTCCTCTCTCAGCCTTCAGATAAACAGCTCCAGGATGCCGAAGGGGTCCATGGGGCCAGGGGAGACCCAAGAACCTACACTTCCGCCACCTGCTGCTTTTGCTGATGCTTGCAATGCTAGGAGAGAAACATTTTCAAGTCATTTTGAGAGGCCCTACTCCCAGTTCAAAGCTGAACTCCCATTAACCTCCCAAGGATCCCTGGAAAAGAGTACTGTCTTCCACAAAATCAGTGCTAAACCTCCAGAGAGCATGCTGAGTGATGTGCATGAGAGAGCTTTAAAGCATCGCCCTCAGGCTCAGGGAAGTTTGCTAGAAACATGGGAGGAGATGCATGCTGATAATCATGTCACTAAAACCCGAGATAGCCTGCATGCTGCCCCCGATGCAGCCTCCAGCCTCCAGTCCCAATCAGGCACCAGCCAGGGCTATCACAGGCAAGTGGTTCCCAGAGAAGAGATTATAAGTACATCTGCAAAGAACAGCATGGTCACCCTAGCCAACCAGGCACCTAATTTCTCCAGGCTCCTGTCTAATGTAACTGTCGTGGAAGGTTCTCCAGTGACTTTGGAAGTTGAAGTAACAGGATTTCCAGAGCCTACACTGACATGGTGGGTAGCCTATAATGACAAGCCATAAACAGAAACAAATCTAATCACTAAGCAAATGACTCTGTGTGCACTAACGTGAAGGGTTAGGGATGCTGATTAATATTCTACAACACTGCAACTCTGCATGATTCAACCTCACATCAAGTCCCAGCTCTCATTTCAGCTGCAGCATGGCTAATTCCTTTAAAGCAAAAAAAGGAACCATAGAAAATAACAATTTAACAAACTCTGAAAGTACTATAAGACAGCTGTGCTGTTTTGCTTTTAGCTTAACCTTCCACATTTCTAGAGTGTGGTCTGAAGTTCTTCCCTGTTGTTTATTTCTGTGTAAGCATGACGTTTGCTTAGTTTATTCAATCAAAAAACAAAAGAATTTGGGTTTCACCTATTTGAACTTTCTCTCTTCCCACCAGTCACACACAAGACTTTTGTAAGGATTGTTTGTATCACTGTTTCCTTTTTATAAACCTTTGCAATGTGAGAGATGGATAAAAATATTTCTCTCACAGTGGTTTCCGGTGGTGGCAAGTAATAAACTCATTTTTGAAAGGTAGTATAAAAACTGAACTGTGAACGATAGGATTTGCTCTGGGGTGCATCATTGCTATTTTAGCCTATTTGTTTTAGTAAAAATAAACAGAATAAATGTCTTGAGCTACCTACTATGGTTCTAAAAGCAGTTCTAACTTTCTGAATTCATAGGTTATTTTAAACATTTAGGATTTTTTACCTGAAGACAGAGTTACAAATATGTGAGAATGAGTTTATATTTATAATCTAAGATAAAAAGAGCAGCACTTGTTTATCCTAATCTTTCAGTAGGCACTGAGTGAACTGTTATCACGTGTACCCCTTGACGGTACTCCAAATGTGAATCACTTATCCAAAGAATTTATGAGAAAACCTTGGTTTCTCAGATTACTAAAAGAAACTGCACTCATGCAATGGTGTGCTTATTTATGCTTTTTGTTTTCTTTTGTTTTTACAGTTGCATGTTTCTGATAGATCAGGAATTTTGCATTTATGAATTTAAAAAATATTTAATTCATCATTAAATATTAGTTCACTTCAAAGAAAAATGTTGTCTGAGGTGTTTCTTGGTGCTGGCCATACACACACACAAAATAGCTTTGGTTAGTTGAAGGACTGTTGTAATATTGGGAAAGGTAACAGGGACAGATTTATAATGACTACACAATCAACAACTGGCAAGCCGTCAGGAGATTACACATTCTTAGGTCACTCAGGAAAATGTTATCACTTGGGCACTTGGAACAGGAAATGATTCAGGTTTGTCTTCCTTTCTTGTGTAGAAATGCATAGGTATAAATGAATAGAAATGAATCTAGAGTACATAAGATAAACAGATGATTTGCTTCAAGAAAGATACTAGTATCCATGTCCATAGGAAAGTTAGAAACAAGTCATTAACAGTAATAACCTCAATTGGGTAAATGCCTTTTATAATTAAAAATCATTTCCTTTTAATGAACTAAATTGACAAGCATTAAATGAACTCATTTAGCCAGGTAATGCTAGGTAGGTACCATCCCCTAACGCAACACATTGGTATCTCACATGGTTCATAGGGGATGAATATGGTGGAGCAGATGAATCTCCTTCCAATGTGGATTCCAAGAGTCATAAGCAGCTGTTGCACAGCACCTGAAAGGCTAGAGCAGGCCAAACGGAAGTGTGCCATCTCACTTACTAGGTGATTGTTGCCATGAGCAAATGGTAGCCAAGTGGGACCAGATGGCCTGGCTGTTCAAGAACAGTTGGCTATTTGAATTTTCAAATTCAATATGTCAATGGTAAATGTTGTCCAGAAATTCAATTTTTAAAAAGCACATTCTAACTCTCCTAACTGGCCAAGTACTTATTTGGCCACCAGTTGGCAACCTCTGTTTGAAGAATAAACAGAGTCTTTGAAATTTTTGGTAACTACATAGCTCCTGCTAATTCTAGAATATGTTGTAGTGGTGGTGGGCCTATTTGCAATGATTATTAGACCTTGGAAACAATGTGAATAAAAAGTGATCCTGACTTTAAAAACTGACTCTCTGCTTCAGGTTCAAGAAGGGCCAGAAATTGTCTGCAGATGGGCACTTACAGGTCTTGCAAAAGGAGACAAGACATTCGGTGTTCATTCCGAAGGTGTGCAAGGCAGATGCAGGCCTCTATGTGGTTCGGGCCCAAAATTCTAGTGGCATTCTCTCTTCCAATGTCATCCTCCACGTGACAGGTAACCACAGGCCGCCTATCACAAGAATAAACTGGATAACACTGTGTGTCATCTATGTTAGTGTCTCCCTGCTGTACTGGCTGCTCACATGGTAAATTTGGGGAGGGAACCCATGAATGTTTTTCTGATGAGCCTAAAGGACACTATGTTGTTTCTTTTCCCACATCTCCTACAAAGCATCCTCCACCAAATGGACCTCCATTCTGGTCCTATTGCTTGTGTGACTAATATCACTGCTTGATGAAATAATCAACTTTTCTCTAGTGGTTTAATGTATTTGAGAAAAATTGTTAAATTATTAGCAATGGATCAGGATACAGTTTTGTATTTAGAAAGAATGTGTTCAATAGAAAACAAAGTAAAGCTCTGCTATGTTTATTCTATCTTAATTTAAGCACATGCAGATCAAGGTTCACAAGAGATATATAGATGTGGTAAGTTTCAAATCCAACTATTGGATCATTTATTTTTTATTGTACTTATGAATTTTTTTGTCAAATAATTGTAGAAATATTGAATGTTGTCATTTTTATTATTGCTTAACTATGCCTTAACTTTGTCTTTTGAATGCCTTGATCTCATTTATGATATGCATTCATTCTTTGTAGTTTCCACTTAGAATATATCCCTGAGTCTCAGGATGCAACTTTAATCATTCCTCTGTTGATTTCATGGATTTTACATAGGAGAACAGATGTGCCTTCAACTTTAAATGGAGTTTGAAGCTGCCATCAGCTATGCATGTCATATTGCAAGATAGTCATGGGCTACTAGAATGAACCAACTTTACACCTGTCATTCCATTGATATATTTGGGGCACTCATGTATATACAATGCAACTAGATCTTCTTGCTACTGCTCTTGATCTTGATTTTGCTGCTGATGTTCTTTTTATAGTTAGTGGTAAGGCATCTCAGTGCCTGTTTCCCTTTTGGAAAATGGGTTCATCATCTACCTCTCTGACAATTAAGAGCTTTTAATTCATTCTTATAAAGATCCAGAAAATGGAAAGCACTCTAGGGATATTAAGTTTAACTATATTATTTAATGTAATTGGTCATTGCACTGCCTCCTGCCCACTATTGCCCTTGTAGGTGCTGATTCTTTAGCATATTCAATTAAAAGAGTAGTGTTCGTATGTGATTTCCCACCACTCCCATGTGTTAAAATGGTATTTTATGAATTAGAATTCAAATTCCTTGCTAATTCCTTTAAACTATATCCTTCTCAAACACTTGGGAAAAAAAAAAAACAACAAAAACCAGGAGGAGGATATATTCAGTATTTAAAAAGAGGGAGGGAGTATAGTAAGATGGCATAAGATGAATTTTAGTCCTCTAAGATTCATGTAATATTGAAGAATGTTCCATGTCTTTCTGATATATATTATTCAGAATAGGGGGTCATCTGTTTGATTCATTTAAAAAAAGAAACATGAATAAGAGAAGCATTTATTTTTCAGATTTTAAACATAGTTTTATGCCACTAAACAAAATACTCAGTTGAAATGATACTTGTTCTCAATTTTTGATAAAGGTAAGGAATGAATTATGCTGCTGTAAAGTCCACATACAAATAAAAGTATTTAAAATTAATATATTCAAGTTGATATTTAAAAGTACTGAATGTCAGGGCCCTCCCTGATGGTGCAATGGTTTAGGATGCAGCACTGGACACAACACTGCAAGTAAGCCGTAGCCACTTCAGTGCAAATTTGATCCCTGGCCCGGGAGGTGACCCACATGGCGCAGCAGACCTCTCCTGTCTCACCTGCTGCTCCCCTCTGCAGTGTACTTCATTAATCTGCTGTTCTGCTCCCCACTCTGTCTCTGGTGAAGCCTCTCACCACCCCTGTACCTCTGGCCTGTACCTCAGCTCTGTTTGCATAAATAAATAAATCTTTAAAAAAAAAGTACTGAAAGTCGTCTGAATATGTGAATGTCTGGTTGACTGAAAAGTTTGTGTATATTTTTTGTGTGCTGCATATTCAATTTAATTTAAAAATTAAATTTCCTAATTTTCTTCTAAGTTTTGACAGAAACCTAGTAAAAGCTTATATATACATTATCCTACAGAACACATAGCCTCTTAGCTCTCCTTTGCTTTTTGTCAAGTTTCAGTTATTTCACATATCTTGCCTAAGTGATATTCCCTGGTTAAAGCTAAAGTAAAACCTATTCATGTCAAAGAGGACAGATGGGACAAATATGGTAAGCGCTTCTCTCTCTTCCTATCTCTTTCTTGTTAATTTGATGAAATTTCTCTTCTGTTTGTCATCTTGGCTGAATTTGTAGTTTGAGGCAAATAGGGCATGGATATTGCTGTGTTTCTTTACTTTGCATAACAGTAACAGTTCATCTTAGTTTGGGGGCAGAATATCATGCACATATCAATAGTATATGACCAACATAAAATATAATAAAATATCTGTGTTTGTACATATATAAGGAAAAGTCATCCTGACTCCTTCAAGATACAGTTCAGATTGCTGCTTTTATCTCTTTGTCTCCCTACCCCCTTGCATACCTACCTACCTACCTATCTGCTTACCTACCCTCTTACCTACTTACCTACCTCTTCTTCTGAGTTACTGTTTGACCAGCAGAGGATAATTAGTTACCCGGTTATTTTTTTAATTATTATAATTTATTTTCAAAGACTCAAAAATGATTTTTCTTTATGCTAGGTTTTCTGTCACAAAGAAATTCTCCTTATGAAAATGGAACAAAAATAATTTAATAAGGGAAAACTCAGAAATTGTATTGTAGGATAGGATTTATGAACATTTTCTTTAGAGAAAATTACAGTAATATTGAAGTACTTTGCAATAGAATATGAAAATAAAAATTGATAAAATATATACTTGACCTTCTGAAGGAATGCAACACAAATGTGTTTTGAACTTCTTTTTAGGCAACATCATTGGCTTTCCAGTTTGGTGGTGAAGTTTTTTTCAGACTCAATTTCAGTTGAAATTTACTGTATGAACCCTTATATTTGAATTTTCGCAGAGTCTACATTATCTAAAATATCAGGCAAAACAATGCCTTCTAATTGCCTCACTCAACTTTAAAATCCTTCAAGTAGAACACACAGCTCATTAAACCTTTAATCTGATCTCCTGCTCCCACTCTCTTCCAATCCCTTCACCTCCCATCAAAGCAACATCTAGCTTTCAAGTTTTTGCACTATTGTTTTCTTTCATTTTTCCAGTACTTTCTTCCCCAAATTCCTTTATTATTTTCTAGTCTGTTTTCATGTAGCTTGACTCTGGTTTATCCTTACTTACACTTAGGTACTTACTACACCTACCCCACACTTCAGTCTGGTGTAGATGTTCCTACTCCATGCACTGTCAGGCACCTGACTTGCTATAGTCGTTTAGAACCTAGTAAGGGAATCTTCACATATTCTAGAACTCATGTCCCCTAGTTAGGCTGTGAGTCCCGTATCAGTACGATCTTTGACAGCCCCGTTCATCACTATAATCCCAGCACCTAAGACATAATTATAATCAGTAAATATTTTTAAAATGTTTTGAAACTAAGCAGAAATTACCTCTCTGGTTTTTTTTTTTCTTTGCTTTTCTTTTCTATTCTTTTCTTTTCTCTTCTTTTCCTTTCTTTTCTTTTTTTCAGGGAGGAGGGCAACAGGGAATGTAAAAAGAGAAAGATGTAGCTGTGACTCAGTTATCCTTCTTCCTATGGACAATTGCTTCTCAAGATCAGCTCTGGTCATGAAATATACAGAAAATACTCTCAACAAATTTACAAAATTTGAGTGGGAACTTCCAAATCCTTTGTGTTAGACTCTGGTTGAAAATTTAAACTTAAAAATAGAGGCTATGGCCCTCCCTGGTGGTGCAGTGGGTTAAAGCACAGCACCAAGAAGCGTAAGCCACTTGGGCATGAGTTCAATCCCCACTTGCCCCGGAGGAGATCCACATGTCGCGGCAGACCCCTCCTGACCCTCCTGATGTTCCCCTCAGCAGTGTACTTTGATCATCTGCCTGTTCTGCTCCCCACTCTGTCTTTGGCGAATCCTCTCACCCTCCACATCTCTGGCCTGTACCCCAGTTCTGTATGAATAAATAAATAAATCTTAAAAAAAAAAAAGAGGCTAGCTCCCACAGTCAAAATAGCAGAGAAGAGGCCAAATCTTAGATTGTTGTTTCAACATTGTAAAGAATATTAATCAGGTAAAAATCGATATCAAATATAAAGGGAGAAATGGGTGTTTTCACTCTCAGTGACTAAACAAAACTACCAAAACAGGTTTATGTACTTGGTTGACCACTACACAAATAATCAGTGTTTCATTGTAACTGAGGCTCAGTGATATAGTTGTGAACATATCTTACTTTTTATCAACCAGAATTTCATCTATACATGTAAATGCAAAAAAAAAAAAAAGTGAAGTCGAAGAATCTAGATTATTAGAACTCCAAATGAAGGAAGTCAAGAATATTACATATTGTTCTATTTTGTTTTATTCATGGCCATTCTTACTAGAAATTACCATCTGAAAATTTTACTTCACCTGTTGTAGGTACAGTATTTTAAGTGTGTCCATGAAATAATTAGTTAAAACAAAATAAAATATCTCCTTTTAGTATCCTGTGCTATTGCATGCCAATTCAAATGTCAAAGCATGACAGTCTGTTTTCCATTCATAATAAGCCGAACCTTGAGTTGTGTCAGAGAGCCAAAAGATTTGCATTCACTAAATGAAACCATGTCCCACTTTAAAGCAACAATTCATTATCACTGCTCTTGTCACATGAGACATTTGATTGTGACCAGCTGTGTAGGAATTCAACCTCTCAAAAATAAACAAAACTGCTAATTGGCCTTTTCCAAGGAATCAAGACAACACTGTTCCTTGTGTTTATGAGACTTTACATAATACCATGGGTCAAGCACCTGAGCATCAGTGGTGAAATTTTGAGGCATGCCACTCCTCAGATAAACAAGTCTTTGATTCTGGAGTATGAGTGTTTGGCCAGAAATTTCTTCCTTCTCTTTGAAGGCAGTTTTCTTTCTATAAGCCACACACTTCAAGCAGCTAGAAGAAAAAAAGAGCTATTTTAGTCTATAGCAAGCAGAATAAAAGAAGTTAGAACATAAATCAGTAAATAAAATTAGAATACAAATCAATGATCTCGAAAATAAAACATAATACTAAACCAAGACCTGATTCTCTGAAAATATCAGTAAAATTGATACACTTCTAGCGAGGCTAATCAAGAAAAAATAAGATAAAATTACCAACATAAAAATAAAAGAAGGGTCGGCCCTCCCTGGTGGCGCAGCGGGTTAAAGCACAGCACTGAGAATCTAAAGCTGCTTCCGCATGAGTTCGATTCCCGCCTGCCCCGGAGGTGACCACATGGCGTGGCAGACCTCTCCTGACCCGCCCGC